TGCGATTAGTTCAGATGTTTTGTCTATGCCTGCACTGTCTTCTTGTCAAGAGAGTGAGATCAGACTCAAATCGTGACCAAATATCTCGGTTTATTCCTAGTCCAACCGACGCAAGAGCTTACATAATCTTGCCTGTGATAAGTGTTACGTGCTGCGATCATGAGGAAACTTGGAGGTCTCCAACTGAACCTCCCTTCTGTCAGTGAGACCATTTTGCACCGACAGGGCTGATACCACTGAACAACTGCTTTGACCCGGCAGAAAATCGTCGACACAACTCACCTCACGAGCTCCCAGGAAGAATCAAACTCACAGCCTCCTAAACAGTAAACAAAATCTGGGCCGTTCGACCACAAATTGCTTAGCACTAGTGTGATTATCACATGTAGAAGATGCCACCCCTCATTCATCCACATGATCGCGTGCTGACTGGCTCTTCGGATGACGAAATCATACACAGATCTGCGCATCTGAATTATCCTCACCTTTTGGTTACTTCGAAACCGTTAGTAGTATGAGGAGATTCGTAAGATTAGGAGATTCCCAAGCGGGGTCTCTTTCCTCAGGTGAAGTCAGGATGTGCCGGAACAATCTTTAGCATGGCAGAAAAGATTCATCACTAGTCAGTGTTATTCCGAAAGTGGTCATAAGTATTCGCACCTTAAGTAACTCGATGTGGAGACTGCAACATCAAATGGAACACTATGTTCACCGACGTGCTGTTGGTACTTTACACTGACATCAAGAGGCTACAGATATTTCTTAGAATAGCAAGTAAACGGATGTGTAGGGCCAGCAAAATGTTAGTTTGCATTTTCTTTTCAGTCTACTGTGCTCTGAATTGTGATATCCTGAATGCATCAAGCGCCGTCCGGACTAATAAATTGTGCAGGTCAAATATTTGCAACGCAGTGTCAGTATTACTTTCGCTCTTGCAGACTCATATAGTCACCGCATACCAATACCTTCGCCATAAAACTATTATCTACGCAATTTAAAGTGCAGAGATATTTCTTAGGAACCACTGTAACTAGTATACTTGTGAAAGGAACCCATGTCTATTGCAAGATTATGTAAAACCTCGTGAAAAGCCAGAAACCTTCATCAAATCTGATTTGGACAGCCGACAAAAGTCTTGGTAGGCTTATAGCTGCCGCGGAACCTAGCGACATCAAACTATGACTGAGTAAATCGTCTCACAATCCACTCCACACTTACACCGTTCAAGGCTTATATCAATATAACTGTTGCATTTTTAGTACAAGACGTATTCCATCAAACGCTCGAATTCTTGGGCTATCAAAATGGCAACATCGAAGGTTATCCTTGTGCACACCTGGCACCTATGTCCGTGAAAACGGGAGACTCAAATGAATGCTTGTTTTATGATGCTCTTCAACTGAATATGCTACACAAAGGCCACCTCATGTTTTAATTGGTAAGATATTCGAGATACCGCAGTGTAGAGGAAACCAATCACAAGGTATAGATTGTTTCCAGCAATCTGTTGGACCACACTGAGGCAGGCGCCAAGAGCAAAATCACTCAAATGAGGGTTAATCTACAAATGCGATACCATAAATACGATAATCAAACAATAAAACTATACAAACTTGAAATCGGGGAACTATATCGAGGAACCGCTGAATGGGCTTACAGAATCTCAGAACACAAAGAACACCCTCGTTATCTCAAGTGAATACTAACAGGTGTGTTGACTGAATCGGAAATAGTGTCCTTGGATGCATGCACAGAAGTTAGTATAACAGAAGGGACTATAGGCAACAGGTGACCACCTGATGGTAAGTGGTGTTTTGTTCCGTCTAAGGATAAGTTCACCACATTGCCAACTAGACGAACGGCATAGTCTTCCTGCGATAGCCCTAGGGTTTCGGGTTCAAATCACCTCACACATACGTGAGACGATCATTGGTTGTGATTCCCGACGACAGTGAAACCGGGGCACGGTGCAGAATAACTTCACTAACAAGGTAAACTTTCCATTGTAAAGTACCCTCATACAACACAAGCCGCCGCGTGAATTTCGTTTTTTGATGAGCCCATTGATCAAAAGTAAGGTTTAACTGAGAGTGAAGTTAGACACGATTGCATTAAGTTTTAGCAGTTCTGACGACGGACAATTGGACCGTAATATTAACTTGTGCTTCTCCCTACTCGTACACGACAAGATTTTGTTTTCAAAATGCCCCGTGACGCCAACGCCAACGCACAAACAGTGTGTATCTTCTAACGAAAGTTTTGAGCACGTAACCGAAATCTTCGATGACCCTAGCAAATTTGTTATGTGCTTGCGAAAAATCAGGTAATCGATGTGTTTTGGAGCATGGTGAACAACAAATCATGTAAAGTGCAAATTCAGGTAGCTTAGTAGGTGGAAGGCAGGACATTATGTCCACAACCAAGTTCAGTACGAGTCACAAAGCAAACGCATTCTGTTGTTTTTTTAGAGCACATAGTCTCACAATCTTTAGAGATTTCATTATTCCACCGAAGTGTTAAAAATCTCCGCAAAATTCCCAGATAATAAAATGAGATAGGATGTCTTGTGATGTTCAAAACAGTATGATCTTCATGCCACGGGTTGCACCTTCATTGGGATACTTTTAGTTGAAACCAGGTCGTATTTAGAGGTTTGGCTAGCTTATTCAGATGTCTCCAGCTTGTCAACTAAATGCCCAAAAGCAAACAACAAAAATGTCAGAACATTTACTTCGCGAAACTTGGCAGCTACTTGAAAATCAGTAATAAACGAGAGGGTGCTGTGAACGTTTTTAAAGGTGTGCGAGAATGCCAAGATGGCAAACTTGTAGGAACTATGCAGCTTTTGATCTGTATAAGTGCTCTACAAACTGCATATAAAAGTGTCTCCACATATAACTGCAATCGAATTGATGTTCTTTGAATCTAACAGTTGAATAATTTTTCTCGAAAATGATAGTTTTTCCTACGGAAAACTCCATTTATCTCATAGCTGATTGTCCGACCTGTTTGGAAGGTATAACGTATATCCAGCTATATCCAGACGTAAAAGGAACACTGAACCAATTTGGCTGAATGTATTGGATAAACCTCTTGTGTGCAAAAAGTTTGGGTGTGAGTGATCGGATGACAAGAACCTGTGATATCGCGGGGTTACGTAGTCTGACTGCTTTAGACTGGTTTCGTGGCACCTGGTACACAATCCAAAACGCCGTGTCTAGCTGAACAAAGTTCCATTAGTTGACAAGGTGGGCTAGAATATAACTGTAAATTTTTTCTGTACATCCAAGCGCAAGGTGTTTTGCGCAACGCTCTCCAGTCCGTTGAGGTGTGCTGCATCGGGTGGCCGTTTAGGATCACCGTTCTGATATTTTGTTGTGTCATTTTCTGGCGCATGACTCAGTTGATAACCAAAGGTGTTAGATTCTGTGTTCGAAGTCTGACTTAGTTTGAAAGTTTCCTGCTCATATTTCTGGGCTTTTTAAATGAATTGGAGAGAAAATCCATCAATTTTTCCAATAACAAAATGCCACCGAGCAGCAAGCCTCAGGTCCTGATAGATGGTTTCATGAGGTGAACAGTCATCTTATCGGAGCCAACTTTGTTAAACCGGGTTCTTTTTTATTAGAGCAGCTGCTTAACATCGTTATTCAGTTACAGCAGACATGTACTTGAAAATGAAAATAGTAGGCTATAGACTCTACACTCTCTGATGGTGGTAGATTATTGTGATTTCTCATCTTGAAGTAATTTCCAAGACTGATGAATGATGGTTTAAACGCCTCACACTTCTGAACAGACAAACACTAATAACTCAACACTACGAATATAAAACCTCAGTTCCAGAAAGTACACGTTACTGGTCAACTTACTCCGAATGGTTAAAATTAAAAATTTGAATGTTTGTGTGTTGGTCAGTGGTGTAACCGAATATCACTCGGCAGTAAACTACCAAGTCAGCGAACATTCAGTAGTCCCTAATCTCACGACACTATGTAGCTTTTAGGACTGAACAAACTGGGTTGATCAGATCTTTCTCCGCTTGTTCGCAAACATATAGTGGTACGGTATTAGAAGCGTCTGCTACGTCGTCACCTTGAGAGGTTGACTATAAGTTGTCTATGAAGCAAAAATATTTAAAGCCTTGGCCATTGATTTTTGTACTGAGCTAGAGAATGTGGTCGCCGATCATTGCTAGTTGCAAGACAAAGATTCATAAACGTGATGTATGAGAAAGTGCAAGGGACAGCAATCAGAAACTGGCAAGAGCCTGATCAAACGGCAGCTTTTTACGTGAGCGCTCCTTGCTTAACTCAGCATAACCATTCATAGCCTGAACCCAGGGTGCATTTACAAGCTGGTCTTTAGATGACTGTCTGCACAGTGACTGCGACTAGTGATCCAAATGTGCTCCTTGTATTATACTCCGAATTCCCTTTAAGTAAGTCGGGTTCCCTATGTTGGAAAAAACATCTTTCTCGGTGGATTAGATTAAGTGTGTTTTTCGTCGTTTTTTTTTCACTTTTTCCGTTCCTGCCGTTATTATCTCCCCACATTGTTGAAATGCCATTTCATGCAACATGCGTTTTTAGGTATTTTAATCGGGGAAATTTCGCTATCGTTTCGTTTGTCCGTTGTCCACCGTTCTGATTTTTTCCAAGTATACCGTTTGCAGTTCACAGGTAGTACGATAAATTTTTGTTGTCATAACGTAACTGCGTTCTATCTGTCACCTAGACTATTAATAACAGCATTGCTGCATTCATCATTCACCAGGCTAGCGGGAGCTAATTTTCTTAAAATCAAGATCGGTTGCAATAACCAGGGTTCAGGCATGCAGCCGATCAACATTTTGTTGTTGCTTTTAAGGTAAGACGACCGGGTAAATCGAAAGCACTTTGTTAGTGAACTCATCGGCCATTCCGCCAATAAACAAGAGCCATATACACTATAAATATGAAACGGCCGGCTGATTATTTCTGAAAACTACCGTCGTCATAATGCGTTCGTCTTCTATGCGGTCCTATTATCTGATGATATTCATTTGCTTCCTCCCAGGAGGCATGCTGCATGATTCTAACCCTCCGGGTAGGTTGGTCAAATAAAACATTCGCCTGTGGCTTTTTTAATTTTTTCATCTGCTTTTTTAAATGAAAGATGACCACGTCTCTGCTACATATTGCATTCATATCAAAAGCCAGACGATTTATTCTAACTCGCCACGGGTGTTGGTACATACGTTCCGCCCATCAAATTCATTTCAAACACCACCAGTGCTCCTGTTTCCCGGTCGCTTCTGCATGTTTAACTTCCAAAAATACCCCCAAGATACGATTGCAGTCCAACATGTGGCCGTAAGTTCTACCTATGCGGACTGTGTTGTAGGTCTGGAATTCAAGGACCCTAGATGTCACTGTTCTTCTTATACCGTTCATTAGGAGTTGATCAGCAAAATGTACAACTTGGGAAAACTCATGTGCGATCTTATTGGCAGACAGCGACTAAACCTGGGGCATCATCAAGAAGACAGGCTTCTCCACTCACAGTGGAGCAATATGGTCTAAGCTTAGGCTGGTTTGGTCAAATTTATTCATGTGCTGCTTACGAACAAATGACTAACACTATTTTTCTCAGAAGGGATATCTTCCAGTTCCATTCTACGCTATCCCCAGAAAGCATATACAGACTTTACACATTTGATTTTTTTCTATGACAGACTACAGTGTATGGGCGCAGCACTCGATGTGAACGACGTTTTCGTTATTAGGAGGATTTCCATGCTGTATCGCCAATATTGTGTCCGATATGACCCATATTAAGTCCAATTATAACTCGCTACTTATGCGCACGCCGCTTTTGCCCGCTGCTTACTAGATGAAGCATTCATCCTCAAAGCAAAACTTAGTGATAATCCTTGACATGTGACTGGATGATACTGTGGTGGGTGAAGTTAGGTCCAACTGCCGTTTCACTCACTGTTCACCATTTGAGATTACCCTCTGCTTTTATGCCCCCTTGAGTTCTTGAATGACGTATCTAGCTGATCATATCGATCTGCAAATTGTTGAAGAGGGCGCTAACGGACTATCGTTGACTGACATATACTGTTCTCCTGACAGCCACTACTGAACGCTTGCCTCATAGACTCCAGGACGTACTTATATTTGTAAACAGCAATTTTAAGTGCGTAAAATAAATTCAGAGCGGATTCCTCTAATTCCTTCAAACATCATCGTTTTTGAAGACCCCCCACACCTCCCGTCAATTATTAGGAGCTTTAATTACATAATTAAAATGATCATATATATATATATATATATATATATGGCTAGATTTTACGTAAACCACCGTGATTTGTGATAATCCGTTCAGAAGTGATCGGCTTTTTCCTAGCTACTTAATGTTATCCTTTCCGTTTGTCCCTTCTCTAACGGCGGTACGCCTACGATATATCATTTTAGGTTATGTGAAAAACATACAAAATGATTAAAAAATATAAACAGGTTTCTATTTTATGTCGGATCACAGTGCACAAGTTCCTCATCCTTGTCACACTTTTAAGAGTCTCTTCTGGTTGCAGCTGAATATGGAGAATGACCAACAATACATTCAAATTTGGAGCTCGATGGCCTTTAGACGGACACGTGTTTAGGTGACTAAATTGCCAAGCGAATGAAAAAAGCTTGTAATAGAATCAAATTAGCTATCACATGGCAACTCTTTTTACTTCCAATGGTGAGTGAAAGTGATTTAAGCTTCTTCAATTTCTCTGTATATGTAATTGACCTATGCGTGAGTGATCTAAATCTGATTTAACAATAATGCAAACATGGCTATATTCCTTTGCAGACTATTGTTATCTGGAAATCGAACCTGGCGTTGGCTCAAAATCGGAGGATAGGTTTGCATTTGATGCATCTTCGATGGAATGTGAAGGGTTCAAGTTCACCGGATCCGGAGGTAACAAGAACAACTTCCCGACAAAGGAAAGGTGTGAAAGCGTTTGCAAGCAACAAGCTCTCAAGTGATTGATTTCACTCCATTGTTGAATGTTCCCAATACACAACAGGAAGCTTTGTACAAATATAACCACTGGTTTGCTTTCAGGTGCAAAACTGCCTGTTTGTAGGGAGCAACAAGGAAACTAATCGAGAAAACTGTTTGTAGATACCAACATCCTTCAGACACACAAGGTGAATCCTGTATTAAGAAGAAAATCACATTCATTCGTACGCAACAGAGGGCTGCGTGCCGCCTCACACTTGGTTGTGAAATGTTTCCGACAGCTTATTAGCGGCAGTGGGAAGCGGGCCTAACTTAGTCGCCAGTAAACGATTGATTTGACAACACCTGTTCCAGGAAGCTGACGGGATAACAAGGATGCCCGTTTTGTCGTTGATATAAACGTCCAGCTACCAACAGGAAGTCGGTATTTAGAACTGATAGTACCTAACCTTGCTCAAGTCGGGGCTTTTACAAAATCAGAACTTCCGGGACCCAAAGTAGCAAATAACACACTTTCACTGGCTGCATAGATAATCGAAATCATGTCTCATACCGCTGTAAGCTGGAAAAACTCTCCTTTTGAATACAGGCAGTAAACCCTACAAAAATTGTCCATAACCCATTCATCCAGAAGAAAAACAACTTTTAAATTGGTACACACTGGTAGAGTGTCCTACCGTTTATTCTTCCTCATCCACCAGCTTGCATCTTCCGTGATGAGATTCCCTCATCCTAACCAGCTTGGAAAATTTTTCACAAAACCACAACCGTCAAAATATCCATAAATTAGGGTCCATTCTATAAAGTTATTCCTAAATTCTCCAGAACAAAGTAATCAAGTTCATGAGTGGTTCCCAAAAACCCGGTGAAGGCTTTTATAATTCGGGGAACACTCTTGCTGATTAAGTTGACCCGGAATGAAATGCTCGCGACTTTTCATCAACAACACAAGTGATATCGATGATAACGTGAAAATGCAATGTGGTATTTTAACTGTTAGTGAAAAAACCTTTGGACAGACTTTGCCCTGCACGGTCATGCACAAACAATGAGAAGCGTTATCATTTTGAGGCCCATCAGCGTCCATAGCGTCCAAATGTGCCACTCATCGAGATTTCGTTCTTTCTCTCGTTCAGATTAGTTGCCCTAATCTCTGGCACAACTACTGTGATTTTAATACATCGGAGAGTATACATGCGTCGCCAAAAAAGAATCAACACCAGGAACGTCATTACAGATTAGAAGCACAAATATTGTAAGACCATCTGAGATTTCGCAAGTAATCTGAATTAATTTGGTCTAATTGATCAATTGTTTTTTTACTATTTTGTACGTTAATCTCTACCAGTGCTCAGTAGGAATTGATGGATGGAGATTGAAGAGTGGGTCCCTCCATCCAATTATCAGTTATCACTTTTCATCTCTACGAGGTACATGAAGCGAAGATTGGAGAAACCTTGTATCTAACAAGACTTGGTAAAGTAAATATTAGACTGAATGTACGGAACACAACAAAACTGTCTTAAACCCAGTTGACTCCTCCAAGTCAGCGTATACGAAGGAAGGAAACGAGGAAAAATTGAAGCATCGGATATTCAATTTAGAGCTCATTTTTTCAGCTTTAACTCAAGATTGATTTTACTCCTAATTTTTAAGTAACTCCCTGAGTGATTTTCTGAAAAATACTTTTTCCCAAAGAGTGTGGAATAGTATTTAAACCAGAAGGAACCAAACGATAAATCACCCATAACTCTGAGTGTGTGACACTGATGTTCACAAAACACTTGAACATAGCTAACACTTAAGCGTGCTCAAGAAACCGTCATCAAATATATCCAGATTCATCCATACCTTTGGCGAAAAAACTGGTTTTCCACGGAAGATTCGCCCACAACCGCTTTCAACGAAGTGTGTGAGGCCCCCGCATCTGCCAATTTTCTATTGAACCATGCATCGATACCCATAAGAATATGGCCCACAAAGGTAGTACCCCGATTAACGCTGACTTAAAAATTTGCCATGAGCCTTCGACATTTCTGGTTACAATGATTACTTTAGAGACTGAAACGTCCTTTGCATATCGATTTGGTTTTCATGGGAGACTCAAATACACCTTGTGTGTAGTTTTCGCTATAATGTCACCTTTTAGCTGTTGTCTACTGTAACAACATAACAGATCTTGTTTTTAATGGAAAACGCGCTGCCGACATTCAAGGGTCTACACCTATTTTTGGGCTTTCCTGAGTACAGTGAACGCTGTGAAGCCCACTTTGTGCGAATGCATCCGATCATCACGTGCCGCCAGTCAAAGAGAAATGTTTTCACCAGTTAAAAATTAAAACAATTCAACTTAAAAATGAAAAAAAGCTGATTGATGAGAGAAACACAAACGTGAGCAGGAACAAGACTAACTAGGAGGAAATCAGCATGTGACACAGACCAAAGAGGTACATACTTGCGTCTGAAAACGTGTGGAACATTAAGCTATGTGATATAATCTACCCGGTAAAAGCATCTATTTGTGATTGATAGTGAACTGGAAATTTAAAAATGTATGAAATAATTACGAATCTCTTTTAACTGTAGGTTTCGGTTTTGCCCGTTTGGGTCCATATCTCGTTGTCTGCCACAAATAGATAGGAAGAGGTGCTCTGGAAAGATTTCCTGTTGAAATCGTGGGAACGAAATGTCGGAAACCAATAATGCCGTTAGTAAAGACTTTACGATAATGAACATCAGCCTTGAGCTTTTGGTAATCGTCAAACTGAAGTAAGCAAAACTGTTTGGTGCAAAGTCGTTTATTAGTAAACACCAACTAAGCAGTCACAAGCTATTGGACAGGAAATTAAAGGTCTCATATACACCGTTTTAAAAAAACTGCACATTCTCAAGCGTCTTCTTGAAATTTCTAAGATATTTGTTGGCCATTACACAATCGTGAAAAAGTACTGCGAAGCAGTTCCATAAGTTCCTTAATAAACTTCACCTTTCATTAAATTCGGGGCGGAGCTCAACCGAGACCACAGGCTACTCGCATCCCTCATCAGTAGTGTAAGATTTTACAGAAGTAGCTTTCTCGAGAACACAAAGGTTGGATGCTGTTTGTTAAACCAGATACTCATTAAGTAATTATACTTAGATCATCACTGTAGGAAGCAAAAATAATTGCATTTACAAATAATTCTCCACCAGTGTGACGAATTCGGAAAAACGCTTTTAGGTGCAGCTGAATTGGAAAACAAAGCGCCCATAGATGCAAGAGATAACAAAGGATATCCTGTTGTAAGGCATTTCGACATTCGGACCGTCAGTGTGCCACCTCAACCGTTCGTAGACAGTTTTGAGCGTGGCATGGTTGCCAGCTCCACAGTTTGACTTGTGAGTATTGCTCTTCGGGAAATTCTTGTCAAAGGTGACTTTAAAATGTGTTTCTAGCTTGGCGAACCAAAGTAGCAAAAAGCGAAGTTAATTGAAAGTAAAGTGACGAAAACTGATCCAAATTACAGTTCTTAATTGATTGCACTGCAACAGAGCGTGCAGCAGTCTAAGTTTACTCAAATCATTTTTGGTTCTAGCCAATGAAATTTTCCAACAAGCGCACACTTTTTTCGACGGCAATTACGTAGCCTTCCTAATGCAATCTTGCAAGAATTAGCCCAAATAATAATTCGCCTCAGCCGTCCTAAACTTGAGCGACGCCAAAATATGCTATTCAGCATATGCGAAAACATGTTTTCGCCCTCCTGGTTGGTATAGGGAGGCGTCGCTCTATGATAAGCCCTACAACAATTAGGCGCCAAATGGAAATTTCAAACGGTAGTAAATTTGTTTTCTTCTGTTCTCAGCAGAAGAAAATATTGAAACATTTGTTTTGCGTAAACAATTCGCTAACTTCTATTCATTATTCCATTCATGCAAACGATTTTTCGCGCTTTTCACGGTAGGAAAAGGTGAAAGTGGGGCTTCTTGTTCAAAGTCACTTGAATATTAGCTTATGCCGGTGCCTCGATACCACCTAGTAAAATAATATTCGAAACGACACCCTAGTAAAGGTCATCGCGTTCTCCGGCATAAATTCACGTAAATTCACTTATTGGACAGCTCAAGATCTCCCATATCTAGATGTTCTGCTTGGATTGTAACGCCTCCGGTCCCTGTCAAGATGTTGGATATCGCCTGGGTTTTCCCACTTTGTCTCAAGTTCCCCTTGAAATTCTTAATGGGACAACAAACCTATTCAGTCCAGCATCCTAAAGGGCTTGTTGGAAAAAAGGTTTTGCTGCAATTACAGTTGTTCTGAACGGTTTCAGGCGATCTCTAGCAACAATGAACCAGTCGGCTGTGACAACATGCCGTGTATAATTTGCGGAAATTTGTTTTCCATCAAAATGCATTCTGTATGTCAAAATGATCTGGAAACTTTGTCAGATGCCTACCGCATTTTGCAAACAATACAATATTTCCAAAAGCCAATGCGCCGCATAAAAACAGACAGTTGGTGAATCTGCGGGTAGTCCAACATAGAAAGAACCACTAAATAACTCAGCGGCACATTAATTTTCATATCGGTAAGACACCAGCAAGCTAATCGCTGCAAAATCTTATCAAAGATGGCTCTAAATTCATAATTATGACTCGAAATTGTATATCATCCAGGCCAGGACTACAAACATATCAACTATCACCACGAAACTGGTTTTCGAACACTGGGTGGAGCAACAGTTATTTTGCGGCTAATATATGCGGATCTAACCCTGCGTAATTTCTTAGTACCTGGTTGCTCAGTTAGTACTCTTATCTACTGAATAGCACACCAACTAGAGGGAAATGATTTGTGTGCCACTGTGGTTTTCCTCAATGTATTTATATTCATCTATCATCAAAACGTGGCAGACGCAGCACTCGAGATGCTTCATACATTGCTCAACTAGATCGTGAATCCGTTGTCATATCAACTCTCTGATCGGGAAGCTTGTACCTAAAGCATAAGTTAGATTAAAGTACTCATGCATTAGGCATCCTGGGTACGAATATCCTTGGGACATTTCCGTATGTGTTTGGAAAGAAATGTTCTTGCTTACACGGATTACCTAGGGGTTTTCAACAACATTCATCAACTGCATACAAAACTTCGTTAAAATTATGTTCAAATCATGTGAAAAGCAGTCTTCGACAGCTTCGTTTTATATACCGATCTTTGGCTATGAGCGCATGTATTTGATTAACAAAATGCAATAAAGTTGACATCAAATATTTTCTCCCACCAGTCTATTATGAGGTTCCATATATCTACCGGTCACTGATGGTCTCTTATGTTGGCTAGAGTTACGCTGGACCGGAATGCGGCCACAGGTTTGAGTCCCGTAGCTAGTAATGAGTAACGGCAGAACTCATTTTTCAGCTTATTTTCGAATTATTAGGCAGCACTTCCAAAACTCAGATACATATATCGGTTCAATCCGTCGAACAGTATCACATCTTACTCTATTTTTCCTTTGCATCTTATGACTGTGGAAGAATCTGAACAATACACCGACGGAAATTGAGTGCCTGTATCTGGCGGGGCTTTGTTTTCTGCAAATAGGCAGGCATCTCGCCAGAGCTTTAAAATTTTTATCTTGATTTAATGGGAAGGAAACAAGGTCAGAAGATCACTGTGTCGAAAGGGCCAGGTCAGCCTGAGAAACACACTGACTGTGAACCAGAGCAAGTTTGACTTTCACACAATTATTTGTTGCAAAGGTCAGAAGGGAGTAACTGAATCGTGATTGATTCAGTAATAAATAACCACCTGATTCTCACAGGTTCTGGCCATCTCCTGGGCAAGTCGTGGACGAGGCGAATGGCTATATTTCTGCGTGTTATGCGAGAAGTCTCGGCTAGGGGAAAACATGTTATAAGAATGACGGCGAAAACGAAACTACAATTTCTAAAATAATCATAATGGAACCTGGAGCATTCTTTTAACCGAGCTTATATCAAGATCGCTAGATATCGTTTGATAATTCGTCAAATGTGTGAAACGCTTTTAAGGGATGATAGAAGCACTATGAGTTTCATTTGCCATCTGATCTATGTAGCTGACTGAGGTGCCACTGGTCAATTTTACGGCATTTCATTCGCACAGTATCGGATTCTTCTCTAGTTTATTCAAAAGACTGTTAGAATAGGCACGATCCGGCATCAAAGTAGCATAGTCTTCTCGCTTGTGCTGATCGGCTTGCAGTTGCAACAGAATCATGCATGAACGTAACCGCAAAAGTCGCTGACAATGTTGGGTAAACAGTAGACTACTGGCATTATTCTCAAACAGATTCTTGTTTTTGACTGTGCTTGTCTACAGAGGACACACGCTAAAAGGAAGAAAACGTCTGAGTGTGTTGTTAAATCTCCAGCCTTAGTTTGCGAATGAGAACAGAAAAATGGTTCAAGTTACTGACCAAGATATTCTGAGAGTAGTCGGTAATTCAGTGCAAGACAAGTTCGATATCGGGCATTCATCACCTTTGCTAACCCAGGAAAGTAGAACCACACACACACACACACAGAAGACAGGCTGGTTAAGTTTGCTTAAGGAAACAAACGGTCAGTTTTTCAACGGAAATTTTGGTGATATCTTATCGAACACGTAGGGCATTTCCCATTACTGATAATGCATGTAACCTATCTATTAGAGTCTTTTTTAGTTACTGCCTGCTTGGTTTTCTGACATTCGCAACCCCTGAGCATGAGCTGGGGTTTGGTTATTTACACTTGTACCGCGATCACATCCAGTCTTATCGGCTGCGTTATCCTGAGAGAGGCACATCGACTGGACGTTTCCAGTGACAAAACTGCTACCTTGTCATCTTTAAATTATGAGCGTTCTTATCAGTCTAATCTCACTTGCATCTGTGCTGTTGAACGTTCCTAAACGTAACATGAACTGTTTTACAATATGACTGAGTGTAAATGAAACCGCGTCTGTGTCCACCACTTGACACTAGCTGGCTACTCTGATTTTGCAAATTTAACGTGTGAATGTGACTAGGTCACTTGTCGTTGAAGAATACAAGCTTTTTTTGCCGTGGGTTTATGTGCCTACCCCGCAATATAAAAACTACGCTTTGGATCAACACCACTGTGACTTGATTACTCGGTAAGCTCACCGAATGTTACACATATCTGATTGCAGCTGTAATGAACCATGGACTTCTGATCACTACCTTGTATCAGATAATCAGATTCGTGCCACAAGAAAAAACGAAAACATTTTCTCACATAAACTTGCCACAAAAAATAGGGAATTTTCAGCAATTCATCAAGTATAAATGACTGACGGGCGATTCAGATGCCAATTTTTATTCCTATTAAAGAAGTAGACTGTGTAAAAAGGGGCTACTGACAAGGTTGCTGAAAGTACTTCGACAGCTCACGTCCGGTTTTGTCCCTCTTGCTCCAGTTCAGTCCCCGTGAAAAGCAAATTGATTTGCAAATGAAAGTAGAATTTGTATTTCCCGCCCAATCTTTCCACAGTCCGATCCACCTAGTATAGCTCATGTTTATAACCAAGGAAAAAACATTTGTTGTTCGGATTGTTCAGTAGGCTCCGTATTCTCACTGAATAGCACTAAACTTTCCAAGAACTGGACTTTGGCAACGATTGATTCGTTTTTCCTTGCTTTTTGAAAAACCGTGCAAAATGAAATCATCTACTATTCTGGCAAACAACAAGAGCTACGTACGGTATAAATATGAGTCTTCTTGTTGGTCTATCGGAAGTTAACCATCGTTGTCACAATGCATTTAGGTTCTTTGCAATTCTGTTATCTGGTATCGGCGGTTGTTTTTCTCCCGATGAACACATCACCGGATTTTGTACCTGCAGGTAAGCTCTTTTACCAGATTAAATGTTCTCATGGATTTTGTCTGGTTCGTTGATCATTCCACGCCATTCTTACGTTCTGGACTTCCAATCCTGACTTTTGTGACCAGCGAAACAAATCTCTCTGGCTCCACTAACCTTTCTTATCTACGGGATTACTCAATGTGCATCAAGACAAAAATAGTTGCTTCATGTATTTTAGATGTTGTCCAAAGAAAATAGTATTGGAAAACGTGGCTGATCCCTAAGGATCAGCGGTTTAATTTTCTGATCGGTTTCGCATGTTCCACTTTCAAACTTACTTGCACGACACAACCCCTATGTTGTTCCTCATCATATGGACAAAAATGTGGAACTTAGCGACAAGCATATGCTCAAGATCTGGCCTGACACAGTGTAACTTCCCAAAAAAGATAGCGAGATTTCTCCAAATTAAAATAGCTTCAGCGCATGCTGTGTGCGCCAGCAAAAGGGGATCATGAAAAAGCGAACCCACAGCAATTTTAAACCGATTACTGTGATCATTTATCAGACTCGGAGCCCCACACCACGCAAGTACTTGCTAATATGCAGATGTTGACGCACTGGCTTTTTACTTATTTACTTGCACTTTAATTTAGTGTCGTACGACGATCGCCTTAACGCCTTGAGAAGGCCTGACAATCCTGGTTACATTACCGTATTGCTTGCATTGACTCAGATTGTCCGCTCATTTTGGCTTGGCAACTTCTTGCTAGTGCGTGGGACAGGACAAAATTGTATTAACTTTACTCATAAATAAACCATCAACTGCAGTGCTAAATCAAATAAGGCATTTCAAAATCATGATCAGCTTGCTTGCGCTCTGTATATATCGCCTTTGGACAAATTTGCTTTTAGGTTCACAGATGAGACGAAAGGAGCTTAAAGATGGAAAATTGGCGTCACAAAGAAATTAGGTGGGATAGACTATAACCCGAACCTTTGTGGACAATACACGTTATGACTGGTAGTATAAATGACATGTGCCTTGCCAGCAAGGCGTGTACCAAGAGTAATGAATCACACTGCTGGTTTTGTGATTTCAGTTTTGAAAAGTGTTCCCGTGACAGCGAACTATCTCATTTGGAATTTTGAAAGAGTCGTATGTATGCTGCATCTCTTTGAATGCAGGTTCGAACCAACATCGAATACCCGAATTTACTGAGCCTACGGCTGAATATTTACGTCCTAAAAATACCTTCTCCGCACATACTTATTTTGAATGGTATGCTTCACTACTTATATTCTTCAAACCAATTACTTTCCGTTCTTGTATTGCAATGCTGACAATTTTCCGTCCAGGGCGGTGGGAGCATTCTTCAATAGAGTATACCAAACTTTGCTTGATGCAACCCGATTTTTAAACAAACGTGAGCATTCCCTCAAACATTTTCGTTTTTTGTGGTCCTCCACGGTTCACATTACCGTTTAAAACCCCTACATGGGTGAGCAACGAATCCGTTACCCTCCAGGCGTCGTGATAAAAACAAGAGCAAATGTGTCTGTCTTCCAGCTGACCTTCATGTATCGAGGGTCTTGAGCATGTAGAATTGAAAACATGCTTACAAACAAAGAAATGATAGTTAAGACGCGGGGAAACTAGCTACATCCATGGCAGTAGTTCCGCTTGCTTTAAGTTGTGCGTCAAAAGCTACTTTGGCTGTATAGCTAAAAGATTAAGCATTCTTTATCCATCTACAGCACTTTGCAACAACCCCATCGCCGTGGGCGATGGCGATCTCCAGATGCAAAGGTACGGATTTGATGCCGAATCAGGAAAATGTATATCTTTCGAATTTACCGGGGCGAACGGGAACGGGAACAATTTCTTGACGAAGCAACACTGCGAAGAACTCTGTATGGGCAGGACCCAAACATATGACTGAACAGCTTTTCATGACTGATGTTAAAATGTAATTCAGTTTTGTGTATGCAAACGATAAAGTGATTTCGGTACAGTATTTTCACTCTTATGAACTGCTTTATTGGGTATATTTCAATGAATGAGGTACCAGTCCATTCGCACATGAAAAAGACGTTTAGAAAGTTGAATAAGCCAGTGCTTTTGTTGATGCGTTGGGAGAGCATCAAGTTATTTTTTATCCTGTTTAGTTACGCCATCTTCGGGTTCAAGCTGCTTCAACTGACAATTCCCCTTGATTACCATTGGTCTATCTTGTTGATCTGTGTGGGCTTGTGGATGCTACAACAGTTTGGTTCGGTGGGTGGGGTGGGAGGTCGTCAGTGAGTGAGATCAAGTCCACTTCAGATCTTACATACTTCTGGCAAGTAGCCACTCCCAGGTGGTTACTTTAATAGCAATAATGTTGAAAGCGAGGCACGTAAATGCATAAATTCCGTCTAAATTGGTCAGAATGCCAAATGTCTAAATTTAGTCGAGGAGATTATTTGGTTGACCAGGATCGCGTCACTATTTGCAAGTAGAACTTGCTGATAAAGCGGCTTGACGTAATTTATAACGATGGCCTCGTTCAATACATTCTTAAAAATGTCTTTGAAGCGGCTGAGTAGCACTCGATTAAATACGATGAGGAATTCGGCAACGTTGAAACGGTGGCTCACATTCGTGAAGCGAGCCGCTGTCGTGCTTCGTCTGTGCTTGATTTTGTCTGTCCAGCGCACAGTGATAAATGCTCAGCCATTCTCTAAGAAAAGCATTGATTCGTATGAACCAGCTAGTGTGTGCCACATTAGCAAACTAGGGAAGAGTTAACAGAGGAAAAGTCACAAACTTGGGCATAAGTTTTGTGCGTAAAGCCAACGTGAACCACCAATGTTTCCTTTCGGGGCAACGTTCACTGTTCGTTATCTCTTCGGAGGCTCTTTCGCTTGTGAGTGGTAGCTTGACGTGGGTGAGCAGTTTTGGGACGGGCGAAATTCCACTGCTTTTATTCGTACCAGACGCTGTTCGAGTTAATGCAACGTCAAGGAATCTTCCGCCGATTTTATTCCCCGCAATCGATTTAACTTTTGGAGGGATCGATAAAAATGGAGTGGCTTCTGCTTAGCATATCATCATTATCTTCATCATCATCATCATCACTGGCAGCATAACAACAGTGTTCGCAACCGATTCTTCACTGCCGTACAACCCTGATTTATTTGAACTCCTTATTGTAAAGAAAACAATAAAGGTGGACGGGGAGAGACTTGGTGCTAGCTTAGTATAATAATTCCGATGTGTTACACCTCCAGACATTTACTCAGGCAATCTGGATAGAAACTGGCAACAAGTACGCCACTGACATCGGTGTGTGCAAAGTTCATATCAAAGGACGGGTTGACTTTGCTCAGTTCATCCAAAAACATCTGCGCCTTCTCCTCACTTTCGAAGATGAGAATGATATCGTCTACGTACTTCAGATCGACGCATTCTCTACCAGGCCGGAATCGCGCTTGCTGCTCTAGAGTCAGTGTCTCATGAGACATCGAGGCTATGAAGCAAAAGTGACGCCAACTGTCTCGTTACAACCGGGGCCAAACTGATCTCCCTGTGGTCACCATACTCATCCGAGCCTTTTTTCGAAAATTGGCACTACCACAGGCTCCCCCCTTGTCCGGGACAGACTCTTTTCCCAAATGCATGCAAAAAGATCAGACAAGCGTTGACTGAGAGCTTCACCCCGTCTTTGAGCAATGCGGGTGTGAGGTCATCCACACCAGAAGCTCGGTGGCGTTTGAGAGAACATATGCAGTCCTAAATCTCCGAGGCCGTAGGTGGTTCCACGTTCACCGGCCAGGATTATACTTCACATGTAGACTCTAGATTAGTGCCAGCTGGTGGCCACGGCATTTTGTTTCTCGAAGTATTCAGCCCACCGTTCGAGTCGTTCTTCTTTATTTGAGGTATTCGTTCCATTCTGGTGCTTGATTGTATCGCTCACAGGTGGTCTCCTGGGACCGGTAGCACGGATCAATTCAAATAATCTTCGGGCATTACCGGATTTCTGGGCCTCCTCCATTTCCTTGGTTTTCTGTGTCCACCACACTTCACCGTCGGCTCGCACGCTCACTTTCACTTAATGTCTGATAACTCTTTGAACCGGGACCTGCTAAGACCCTATTGGGCAGTTATCTAGCACTTAAATTGAGAAGCACGGACGTGGTACCAACATCCTAAGCAATTGAAGCCGACCTGCCAAATGGTGCCCCCCCTCATGCAGGCCGATTTCCGGTACAGATCAGGTACATCACAAATAGTTGTAGGTTGGGAGAGTCAGTTACTGTCCCTCCTTCCGAAAAATCGATTTGGATTCGGATCACAGTTTTTCATTGCTACTTCTTGTTGCGCTTTTTAGAGGCATCCAAGCCTCGCACAGCTTGTCTGGCCATTGAGAAGCCCTTCGGCTATCACGTGAAGCAAACCTACCAACAATTGGTGACTAGATTTTGGTGCTTGTTAGACCGGAAAATGTTACCTATATCCCCCAAGTAACTGGTGGAATTTTTTGTGATTGTCTATCTGCTGCGGTTTCTTGGCAGGTCACTGAGGGCTCCTTGATTCTGCAAGCTAAATATTGTGTGGTTTGATCCATTCAGTTTGCGGAACGTTCGCAAACAAATCTACAATCAGCTACAGATAAAGTCAGAACTTACTCCTTGAGAATCTCACTGAGCAATAAGCCGCTGCTCAGATGTGCTTTCACTTGTGTTGGTTTAGTTTCTTTCCTTGCCTACTTAAATTGAGATCTAATACATTTGCAAGCATGCTTCCGCACAAACAATTAAAACGGGATTGAATCGACCTCACATTGTCTTAAAGGCGGATGAAATTTACGGTCAGCAACGCACTGCTGTGTCGTGGATAGGAGATTGCCAACTGCATCCCTTGAGAAAGTTATTTTATTCTTTGTTATCAAAAACACGAATTTCACACGCAGTGCATTAGGTATGCTAACAATGCTGGATCAGTCGCCCTTGATTTGGTGCTGTTCACCATGGTAGCAACTTAAGGGGAAGACTCAAAATGTGTGGAAAAACAGTGCATTGACAGTAAGTCGACAAATTTATTATCGTATCTCAACGAATAATCAGCCAGTAGAATAGTAAAGCTGCAGGGTGACGAAACCAGACTAGCATTCAGCAACGAGCGGAATGATGGTGAATAGCTTTCCGTTCAAACAATGTGGCGTCAGTTTATCAGCTTTCATTTGAGAAACATAAATTACATTGTTAACGTCCGGAAAAGAAATCTGAGTGACTTCACAAAAGAAGGCAGAATAAAATGTCTATCCTCAAAAAACTGTGCGTCGCATCGGTTGCAGGGCCTCCGAAATCAACCACAAACTATTTTAGATACCATGATAACCCAAAAGACGTTTTACTCACTATTGTAGATTCTGCTGGTATCTACCGTGTCAAACTGCAATGCCAACCCACTGTGATTAAATGCACAAAAGAGGCTAGCCATGTTTGTGCGTGAACGATGGAGAATCATGGCTTGATACGTTATTAATACGGGGATCCAATTTACTCTTACGTGCATTTTGCTTGACAGGCTGATTCGGTCTATTTTATGGTCACAGCTTTGGTGGTCTCAAAACTCCACAGGATGGGCCTACAACTTATCCAAGTGTGTAGACAGTCAGAAATCCATTTTATTTATTGGTGCACTACACGATCAAACAACATCGTTGTTGTCCACTTTTTGTCGTGGCTCACGTTCTTCAGTTCGTTTCACACCTCCATTTTTACATTACCTTAGTAAATATAACCCACAAATTTTGAAACTGGATTCTCTGGTTTGAGTTTGAGCCTTGCTCTTATTTTATCAGCACTCAACGTTATTTGTGACCAACTCTTTGAAAACATCATTAAGATGGTGTTGCCTGGCATGTTGGCTCAGTTGAGCTGGCTACATCAAACGCGTATCTTTGAGCGTTTTTCTTTAAATTAAGTTCTGACACCTAGTAAAATGGTCACACCATGTTTTTTATAGGATGTTTTGCACTCGGGTGACTTACTATACAATAGTGGTGTGTTTTGTGTGCATGGAGGCTTTTTCTACTTCATACTTAAGTGTGTACAACGTCATTTCAGTACTATGGATTGGCAGCCACTGGCCACATCTTAGTTCAGTATCGTAGGCTGATAGAAAGCCAATCATTTGCTATATACTACACATCTTTCGAATGACGCGTAGCAAAAATATTACTCTGTATAAACAGAGCACTGTAACCAGTTTTTCATTCCGTATAACAACAGGTCAAATTTTACAGCAAAATAAGGCTCCCTGCGAGGTTTTCGGGGAACATGAGATGAATTGTTGAGGTATACTTTTAGTGGCGTTAGTCCATACCTACCGAGTATCACCATGTAAAATGCAACACGCATTATAAAAGTATGTATGGTAGTAAACAAGCAGTAATCAAGTAGTTATCAATCCCAGTGATGAACTAACGTAATAAGAGTGTTTCCTGAGCCCACGATTTTCCTCTTACAATTCAACTAAACCATGCTTCAACACACAAGTTCTGGGAAAATGAACAGTCACTACTCTGTAAACACTAAGATTTCTAGATCCGGTTTCGTGGTTTTAAAAACTCAATTGGTTGCTTTAGTTTGAAAATGTTAACGTCATCGAGTAAGTTGGGCTCACGTTGTGCAGAGGATTTGAAACTCCTCGTTAAATAAGAAGCTTAAAATTTCACTCACTTAAGAAACCTCCCACAAAGGTTAATCGCTAAAATGTGCAACGGGTCCAGGCTTATTACACCAGAATCCTCAATCTTGTATTTGTGGTGATGTTTCACTTTTCAGGCACTGGTTGGCTCATTTGTTGGTTTGCCATGAGCAACAGGTGAAAGCGCCAGGAGATGGCAATTAGGGGACTGTTTGCACGCTGGAGTCAAAGGCATACAATCTA